TGTCCTAGCGATTTGATTTGAAACTGTCTCATTGCTATTTATCAATAAAATTATGAAAAAAAAGAAATAATAAATTATTGTATATTAGAAAATAACTTACTAGGTATTGAGGCTGGCGAGATGGCTCAGTAGAATAAGCGCTTGACTGGCAAGCGCAAGGACCTGAAAAAAAAAAAACCAAAAAAAATTTACGAGGTATTTTGTGTTGTTATTTACAATCCTAAATTCGGGCTAAGGTCGATAATATGATGTGGTTGATCTATCTACAAGCTGCCCCTCAAATGAAGTAACCAAAACATTTTTTTTAGATCACCAGAGCATAGATTGTCCAACTGCAGCACACTGGGAGTCACATAGTTTGACTATAGGAGGGTAAACCTAGCAAGCTGGGCTGTTCCTCAAAACTATGCTGTGCCTGTTGATACTAGGTACAACCGAATGCTTCTTTTCCTGATTGAGTGGAAATATCTTTTGACTGTCAGATCCATGGAAAACTCTGCATGTTCTGTTTGCTTTGTGAAGCATACTTGAGGTGGTGGCAGCTTCAGGACTCAAACCAGAACACTGCCCCAGATGACTTGATTAGATATGCCAAGGAGTGGGATTTTTACAGAATGTTTGCAATTGCTTCTCTAGGTAAGGAGACACCTTGCTTTCCGTTCTTAAATAGAACTTGACCATTTGATTAAAACTAAGACACATGCTTTTTTATTTTTAGCTTTTTGAGACAGTTTTGCTATGCAGTTCAGAGTGGCCTTTAACTCACTTTGTAGCCCAGGCTGGTGTCAGTCTCACAGCAAGCCTCCTGCCTCAGCCTCTGAGTGCTGGGATTACAGATGTGCTCAGTTTGACACATACTCTTAATCCTGGGCAAGGGGAAGTAATTAATATAAGGTATGCAACTCAATTCCCAGCTCATCCATTAACTACCTGCTAGGTAAGTTTAAGTTCTGATGACTGAACTTGAAGACTTTGGTTTTTTTTTGTTTTGCGGAACCAGGAATCGAACTCAGGCCCTTGCTGTTTGCCAGGCAAGCGCTTATTCCACTGAGCCATCTCCCAGGCCCCTGAACTTGAAGACTTTGACTATAATGAAATATTACTTTATGATACTGAGTCTCCAGTCCATGCCATTTCATATTTCTAGATCTCATATCATTTGTCTTGCCCTCCTCCTTCAGTTATCTCATCTGTCTGCTCAGAACTGCAGGCATTTGTCTCTAATCCAGACCTTTCTCCTGGCCTTTAGACTCTGTGGCCAGCTGCTTCCTTAGCAGCTCCACATGGGCAGCCAATAAGTCATCTCCAAAATTCAGCTTCTCCTGTGGCCTCCACCCATGGCCTTCCCCACTCCAGTTGCAGCTATGTCTCATACCCACCCTGACCCAGCTTCTTCAGGGAACTTGCTTCAGGCATACTGGATGAGCCTCCATCTCTGCACCTCTGAGCTGTCTGTTCCATCTGTCAGGGTGCCTGCCCTAATGTCCACACATGTATGTTCCCTGGTATCCTTCAGTGAATCCTACACTGACCCACCCTCACCCTACCCCCTAGCCTCGCTGTCTTGTTTTAAGGTGCTTATCACAGAAACTGTTAACTTTTTTATGATTTGCCTTCTTTCCTAAACCAAATGAAGACAAAGGACAAAGCTCTCTGTGTTGGTCACTGATACAGCCCTTAGTAAAGTACCTGGTCTGTAGTTAGTGCTCAATTAACATTTGTATAGTTGCTTTAATGATTATGTACATGCATACATTCTAACCTAATCAACCAGACTCTGGTTGTTCATTCACTATTATTCATATATCTAATGATTTGCTAAGTACTTATAACACATTCAGTCCTTCAGGCACTGGAAAGATACAGCTATTGTGTTTTTGAAAAATATAAAAATCTTTGCCTCTTGTAACTTAGGGTTAGGAATTTGTTATGATTTGTGACAGCTTAATAATTGTGATCTCCATTCCATCAGTAATTTTGGGGGGCTATTTCTCTTTTTTTTTAGATGGTCTGGCTACATAGCTGGCTTCAAACTTGGTAATCCTCTTGCCTCATTCTCAATAGCTGGTATTATAGACATATACCACTGTTTGTGGCTCTCATCAGTAATTTTGGACAGAATGTGAACTTTGATGAAATTTTAAAACACCTAATTGACTTTTTTTCATCTGTTTAGTAATATTTAAAATACACAGAAAAATATTAACATTTACATCTTACAGTAGTGTTAAATACCCATCTCCTAACCCAGGAGCATAAATAAGCTTTAAAGCGAACCCTCATAATATTTCTAAAGATAAGTCACTCTTGCCATATAATTAATATATATCACACGCACACACATACATATCTGGTTTGGTTTTTTTGAGACAGTCTTACTGTAGTTGAGGCAGACCTCAAACTTACGGCGATCCTCCTCACATAAAGTCTCTTTATTTTCACACTAGATAAAAAATACAGAAACAGCAGTCAGGTGTGGCAGCACACATCTTTAATCCTGGCGTGCAGGAAGATCACCATGAGTTCAAGGCCTGGGAGATAGTTCAGTGGATTAAGTGCTTGCCTGGCAAGTGCAAGGTCCTGAGTCTGATCCCTGGCACCACCAAAAAAAATAAAAATAAAAATACAAGGGCAGCCTCCACTACATAGTGAGATTATGTCTCAAAAAACCAAAAGAAACGCAACCCCACAAAACAGAAAAGCCAACAGTAAAAAAGACTGATTTTCACACAGTTTGGAATTCTTTTTTTTTTTTTTTTTTTCAGAACCAGGGATTGAATTCAGGCCCTTGCGCTTGCCAGGTGAACACTTACTCTACTGAGCCATTTCCCTGGCCCCCTAGAATTCTTTTAACTACTTATCTATAGTGGATGTTTTGGTATTTAAGGTGGAATGTCTTTTTTTTTTTTTTTTTTTAATGTATTTTTAGTACAGGGTCTCACTACACAAACCAGACTCATAGTGATCCTCCTGTTTTCAGCCTCCCAAGCACTGGTATTACAGGCACATGACACCATGCCCAGTCTCAGTCTCTGCACAACCCAGGGCGAGGCTAACAGGGCATATGGCATCGGGGATCAAACCTGGCTGTGCTTGCCTCAGCAGGTACTTAGTCTCCAGAGCTATCTACCTGACTGGCCCTGAAATGTCTTTTAATTTTTTTTTTTTTTTTTT